CGTCTTCCTATAGGTCAGATATGACTCCAGTCAGTGAGAGTTTTCCCTCTGATTCCCATTGGCTCCAGTTTTGCAAGGGCTCCATGACGCCACACTTGATCAAATATGATCATGATATCAAGGGCAGTCCCTCTCACCTCACCTCTGGAATTAAGCTCCTTTGTCCATGTTTGAACCAAGGTTGTAATGAGGTCGGGAGCTGAGTGGCCCTGGTGGAACCCAAACTGGGCATCACTGAGCAGGTTATTTCTGAGCAGGTGCTGCTTGATAGCACTGTTGATGACACCTTCCATCACTTTAGTGATGATCAAGAGCAAACTGATGGGGCGGTAATTTGCCTGGTTGGATTTGTCCTGCTTTTTGTATACAGGCAATTTTGAGTCAAAGAGTACAGGAAAAGGATCGAGAGCTTAGTGGCATGGTGTAAGGACAAAAAACTCTTCCTCAATGTCAGCAAGACAAAGAAGCTGGTCATTGACCTTGGGAACCAGAGTGGAAGGCACGCCTCGAATGATTGTAACGAGATCAGCCAGATGGACCTCATAGAATATGAGTTCCCTGATTGGGGCTGTTAACCTGGCCCAATCAGGGAGCCCTGGCTGACAGATATAAACAGGAGTGTCAAGAGGTTCTGCTCACTCTGAGAGCTGGCTCTGAGGGAGCTGGATCAGGGTCAAGGACATTCGGCATGTAAATGAAGGGTGACTTGGTAACAGGATACCAGCCTCTATGGAGTTATTTCTGTATCAATGATGCTGAGGTGGAGATGCTGGAGAGCTTCAAATTTCTAGGAGTAAATATCATCAACAATCTATCGTTGTGCATGCACATTGATGCTGTAGTCAAGAAAGCACACCAATGCCTCTACCTCCTTGAATTCAGCACATCCATAATGACTGTTACCAATTTTTACAGATGCACCATAGAAAACATCCTATCTGGGTGCATCACAGGTTGGTATGGCAACAGCTCTGTCTGAAACCACAAGAAATTACAGAGAATTTCTTTCTGCTGGATTGGTTTTGTCCTGTTTCTTTTTTTATTCTTTCACTTTGCCGTCAGACAGTGCTATAAAAAACAGAAGATGCTGGAGAAAGGTCTGGTAGCAGCTGCGGAGAAAATGATTAATGTTTCAAGTCCAATGACTCTTCCAAAGAAGAAACTTTCTGAAGAAAAAGACTTTCTATTTTTATTTCAGATCTCCAGCATCCACAGTACTTGGGTTTTATTTGTGTTCAAAGCACGTTTTGACATTTGCATCATGAAACCTTTTGTCATTTCATTCTCCTCCCTACCTTCTTCTCCAACATTTGCAGAATTTTACTTCTGAGTAACTTCTTTTAAAAAAAAAGTCTTCAATTTATTTTGTGCTTTCACAACTGTGTGCCTCACTGCTGTGTTCCTCCAAATCCACACTGTGTTACCTATAGGAGAAAACATTGTTGCTCACAGACGAAGAGAAAAGCAGGAGCGGTGCTCCACTACACCATGGTATCCACAGATTGGGTCCATACTGAGCGAGTTCAATGGTCAGACTTCATACTCAGACTTCCAATCCTCCCTCAATTTCCATTAAGTCTGACAGTATCTTCAAGTGACCTGCACTTCCAGGTTTACTGACACTCAAACATCATCTCTGCACTGTGCCCCACCCCCAAATTATTAATGGAGCTGAAATGCCTACAGTTTTCCGAAACTATTTTCCTGAATATTATTCAAGGATAAGGGACAAGTGCAGGAATTTGGGATGAGCGCACCTTTAGTGGTAGTTATGTCAGTGCAGAATCAATGGGCCTTTTCTGCACTGAATGGATCTACGAAAGAAAACTAACATTTCTCTTTTCCAGTCTAATTTGTTAACTAACCTGAGCATTAATCTCAAGAATGCAGGGTAATTACACACAGCCTTAGGATGTACACCTAAACTTAAGCTACACAATGGCACCTTATGTTTAACATTGTGCAATGCTGAACAAAGTTGGGTGTGATCTGACAATTACAACATTGCTTTGGATTGAAATGTTGTGTCACTCCTCTTCACAAAATCACGGATTTAGTATCATCTTACTGGAATGGCAAAACTGCTGCTTTCCCATTGCAATGGTTGTTTCCTGAACTAATCCAGTCACCCTGTTTTAGCCACAATTCATTCATTCATATTCACACCAAATATATAGCTTCCAACACACAAACTATTGCTGTGCTGTAATCTCTGCCATTGACTCCATCACTCTCCCTGAGGCTGAGATTTTTCAAGGTAGTGGCTGTCTATTTGACCATAAACTCACCTTCTAATCCCAAAATCTCTCCAAGAGTGAGACAGTCTACCTTTGTAACTGTGTAACATTGCATGTCTCCCTTCCCTCTACCACTATCTCAGCTCATCTGCTGCTGAAACCCTCACAAATAGTTTTTCATCTCTACACTCAACAATGGCAGTGTTTACCTTGCTGCCCTTCCTTCTCGCCCCCATAGTGAACATCAGCTCACCCAAACTCTGCTCTCGGTATACCAACTTGCAACATGTCCTGTTCACACATTGCCTCTTGTCTCCCCAGTCTGGCAATGTCTCAGTTTCAAAATTTGCAACTCAAACTTCATGACCTCAATCAGCGCTGTCCTGGGAACCCTCTGTCACCCAGAACCCTCAGATCACCATAGTGCTCCAATTCTGGCCTCCTGCATGCACCCTATTTCAATGACTCCAAAGTTGGTGGCCATGCCACCATGTTCCCAGATCCTTGCCCCTTGAATTCCCTCTCTGAACCCTTCTGCCTGTGTCTCCTTTAAAAATTTACTCAAATAGTTGGTCACCTGTCTTTATGTCCTCGATGTCAAATTTTATTTCAGTTGTTCCTGTGAAGTGCCTTGAGATATTATTACGTAAAAGAGTCTGTACAATTGCAGCTAGTTGTTGTCTTTTATGGATATTGAAAAGTCTACAAATGCTTTGCTAGCCTATTTACCTTTCCAGCTTTCTAGTTTCCAGTACCTATAAAAGAATATGCACATCAAAGACCTGCCACAGTTAAGTGATCATTAATTGTATTGGACTGTATTAAGTTCAGGTGTGCAGTGTAGATGATAAAATAATTTAAAAGGGCTAAATTTCTCAGTCAAGGTCTGGGATATTTTGACGTGCCCAGTCTTTGTAAATATTTTTTAGAAATAGACTGATAACACAGGAGTCAAATTGTCCAGAGAATCATCAATATACAAAAAGCACTTTAATCAGTAGCGGCACAACAATCAGTCGATGTGCCAGTGAAGATGAAACTAAACAGGCAATTACTTGTGTAGCAGAATGGGGGAGTATCTTATCTGCTCAGTCGTGCAAGCTTGTGAGAAGTTTAGAGAATCCAAAAGAGGGAAGTATCTGTACAGCCTGAACAAACTCAACTAAACTCCACTATATTGAACATTGATAAGCCAGCGTTCGGTGCCACTGTGGACGACTCCAGGACAATAGATGTGGCCAAGAAAGGAAACTACAGAAGGCAAAGGCAATTTTATGCCTGAACATGCGAATGAAAAGGTGGATGAGACTTCCAAATATGTAATTTTATGAAGATCTGACTGAAGCCATGTTTTTCATAAAGGCTAATAGAGTCTTGAAGTGTACAGATGTGAATGTAGAGTAGACAAAGAATGAAGGTGAGTTTATTAAAGTTAGTTAGTTATGCAGCAAGTAACTTCCACAGTGTGCAGCTTTGAGTGTTGCTAGAACCACAGAGATACACTGAAGATGCATTACGTAACATTCTGACAGAGGTGAATAGACAAGATGATTTCCTCCGGCCGTATGTGTTGGTGACAAGAGGGGTTATCATTCATCACTTTCATTGAGAGGGTGAGGGAACGCAGTGAGGGGTGTGGAATGGTTGTCAAGGGAGAGGCTGATGTAGATGTGATTATTTCCTTTAGGGTAATAATTAGATAAGTATTTGAAGTGAAGAGAAAAAGGTAACAGTGTGGGCAGAAAGCAGGGCAGTTTTGATGCCTGATGTCAGAGCCTGTAAACTGGAAAGGCTTACAAAAATGATCGAGCCAATACTTACAGCAAGTTGAGAGGATGAATATTACTCTTCGTCCTTTGAGGGGTCAGCGTCGAGGATTAAACTGGGGATTACTTTTCTATCCCCTTCTCTATCTTGCCTGAAAACTCTATATCCTGGGAATGACAGCTGCCTTTTTGACTCCTGTTTAACCCAAGTCTCTGTGAAAGCAATAAGATCACGCTGCCATGTCTATTCATGCCCTCGGCTTCTCTGTGTTCCTTGCAATAATCTATCCATTTTCATACCTAACTTTTAACATTACCAGAGTCTTGTGCTGTACACTTTTTAACCTCTGCTTCCTCCGCTTCTTAGAGTCAATTGTTAAGATTCTGGCTGTTGTTTCCCGCTTTGAATTTACCTCCTGTTCCCTGCCAATCTAGATTCTTCCCAAAAACACTAGCAAATCTCCCTGCAAGAAAATTTATTAGATCTCATGTTTCAAATAATCCAAGGTGAGATGGAGTATGAGATCTTTATGCTGTCGGTTCACATGCTATGATGTAGTGATGCTATCATGAGCATGTCTCTTAAAGGCGCACTGACTGTGAGACATGTAACAGCTGACAGTGTCAACTAGCCTGGAATTAAAAACCCTTTGTACATCTTCTCCTGCCTCAGGAAGGAGTCCATAAAGAGTAAAAAGTTTATTGTTACATAACAACTGCTCAGGTAGTTAAGAACAGCTATCATATGCGTTGTAACAGTTAAACGGTGCATTTGGATAGCCACAATTTGCATTTGGAGTAAATTTGGTGAAATATTCCATTTAACATTTGATGGCTTATGAAGATTGTTATTGTTTAGAAATTGTTTCAGAGGGCTTCCTCTCTGTTTTTGGAATTTGCAGTGCACAAAATTAGATCACAGAACTTAAAAGCTCAGTTTAACACAGGTTCGTGTCAAGATAAATTGGATAATCATATTGTCTTTTTTTGCACTTAGGACCTCAGTTCGTTTGCTATGCCTTTCCTGGATGGCGATGTAGAAACCTCTGAAAAAGATATCTCTCATAAGGTACGAATGGTTAATTTATTCATTTTATATGGGTCACAAAATGCGAACGTCCCACCATGCTTCATTGACAAAATGACACTCAACACAGGAGTATTGACTTAGTAAGCTCAGGATCACTTTACAGAGGAGCCTGTCTGTCATAAAAACCGAAAGAACTGCAGATGCTCTAAATCAGGAACAAAAACAAAAGTTGCTGGAAAAGCTCAGCAGGTCTGGCAGCATCTGTGAAGAGAAAGTCAGAGTTAACGTTTTGAGTCCGGTGACCCTGTTCTGAGGAAGGGTCACCGGAACCGAAACATTAAGCCTGTCTGTCATGATGGTTTTATTTGTAAACCGCATAGTACCATTTTTTTTACAATTTTCCCTTCTTTACTCATGGTATTTGTGTCATCTGTGAAAGGCTATAGCCTGAATAAAAGAGATTCTAAACAAATCCCCCTCCTACTCCAACTTAAAATTCTCATTGCAAACTAGGGTAGCATGGTGGCTCAGTAGTTAGAACTGCTGCTCCACAGCACTGGGGACCTGGGTTCAATTCCAGCTTCGGGTGACTGTCTGTGTGGAGTTTGCAAATTCTCCCTGTGCCTGTGTAGGTTTCCTCTGGGTGCTCCAGTTATCTCCTGTGGTTCAAAGATGTGGAGGTTAGGGTGGATTGGCCATGCTAAATTGTCTATAGTGTCCAGGGATGTGCAGACTAGGTGGGTTAGCTTTTAAATGTGCTGTTGTGGAGATAAGGTGGGGGAGCTGGGTCTGGGTGGGATGCTCTTTGGAGGCTTGGTGGAGACTCAGTGGGCCGAATGGTGTCTTTCCATACTTTAGAGATTCCACTATTCTCATAAGCAAAGTTGTGTTGGAAAGTTGATGCACATTCAATATGACAAAGCCAAATCTGAGGTCGGCAGGTGTGCTCATTGGGAAGGATGCTGAGGCATACTTGGGGCTCAAAGAAACAGATATTGAATGAAGATGATGATTCTAGGGCTGGAGCTCTTGGAGGGCAAGTAGATAATACTTGAAAGAATGATTACCAGAGATGGAGCAAAGGGAATGGACAGTAAGCAATATGTCGCTGTCAGAGGAGCATTTAGATAAAAAAGAGAAACTGTGGAGGGTTTAGAAAATCGGGATTGGGATCCTGAAGTCAATCATCTGGGGAGTGGGGGAGCCCGAGAGATATTGATAATAATGTGCCTCACAGCCACCTTTAAACCACATGGTAATGATCCATTTGGAAAGTGCCCCAATTTTACAAGCTCCCCCACTCTGGGGTTGCCAAAAAAGTTAGTGATTTTAATCATAGAATCCCGACAGCATGGAAGCAGGCCATTTGGCCTATCAACCCCAAACCAACCCTCTGAAGAGCATCCCACCCAGATCCACCCCCTACCCTATCCCTGTAACCCTGCATTTCCTACAGATAATCCACCTAGCCTGCACATCCCTGGACACTGTGGGTGATTTAGCATGGCCAATTCACCTAATCTGCACATCTTTGGACTGTGGGAGGAAACCAGAGCACCCAGAGGAAACCCACACAGACACAGGGAGAACGTGCAAACTCTACACAGACAGTCACCTGAGGGTGGAATCAAATCTGGGTCCCTGGTGCTGTGAGGCAGCAGTGCTAACCACTGAGCCACCGTGCCACCCTTAATCAAAGCACACAAAGTTCTCATTTGACTTGTCTGATGGACTCACGTTTACAGAAAACACTGACTCTAACAAGAAGTATTATTCAATCCAGGTAACCAAATTCCAACCACAAGCAAATAACTAGGGCCTAGCATCCTATAACTCTGGGAATTGAAACTTCACCTCTCTCTCTTTGAAAAAAACACACACACACACACACACACACACATATACACAGACAAATACACACACACAGACAGACACACACAAATACACACACCACACACACACACACAGACACAAACACACACTCATACACTCATAGTTTAAAAGCTAAGCAGTCAGCTGTTTAAAACAGATGAGGAAACATTATTTTCTGTGATGGTTGAGAGTCTTTGGAATTCCCTTCCTCAAAATGCAGAGTTATTAAATATTTTTAAGGCAAAGCTAGATAGATTCTTGATTCCAAATGGAATTAAAGGATGCAAAGCTGTAAGGAAAAGGCAGCGGAGATGAACTAAATTGAGTTGCTCTTGCAGAGAACTGGCATGTGCATGATGTAACAAATGGCCCTCTCCTATGGTGTACTGTTACAATAATTTTAAAGCACTTTATGGGACTGGAATAATGTACTGATCAAAGCAGGGTCATCATTATATTGTTACGTGTGTAATTTGCCTGCTTTGTTTGATGCTTCCTAACAGTCACTTCACTTCAAATAGTATTTCATTGGTACATCACTATGAGATGTCCAGCGGTCATGAAAGTGCAACTTAAATGTAAGTTTTTTTCATCACTCTCGTTCTCCTTTCTTATTATCAATTTTTCAGCCATTCTCTGCTGAATTTTAATTTTGTCCCAATCCTCAGCCTTATTGCTGTTTTAGGTGATAGACAGATGCAGATATGATGGGTAGAATGGCTCCTTTTGCATCATAACAATTCAACAATTCTGTGAATAGTGCAAACTTCTTCCTTCAACACTCTTTAACTTCTCTTGTTGGTCATATTTGGACCACTTCTCCCCACAATGTTTTTATTTTAAAAGGAATCCGAAACAAGGTCTTAATTGGCAAGATGGCAGCAGCGTAAGTTGCTCCATTCAGAGCTTCACTCTACTCGCTCATTCTATTCCTTTTTTCTTTCTTTTTCTCTTCTTCTTCTCTCTCCTCTCTGCTGTAATTCTATCCCCCCTTGCCCCCGCTCTTTTAACTACCTTACCTGGGGAGTCGGGTAGTAGTCAGGTCGTGACTGGGAACCGCGTGGAGGGAGCTGAACACACGACGGCGGATCGAGCGTGGGCCGGTTTGGCTGTGATGGCGGATCGAGTGGGGCCGGTTTGGCTGTGATGGCGGATCGAGCGTGGGCTGGTTTGGCTGTGATGGCGAGGAGAGCGGGGCCGGTTTGGCTGTGATGGCAGGGAGTGCGGGACCGGTTTGGCTGTGATGGCGGTGAGAGCGGGGCCGGTGCGGGGGCCATGGGCGGTGAGAGTGGGGCCAGTGAGGAGGCAGTGAGCAGGGAGAGTGGGGCCGGTGAGGGGGCAGTGGGCAGTGAGAGTGGGGCTGGTGAGGGGGCAGGGGGCGGGGAGAGGGGGGCCGGTGAGGGGGCAGCGGGCGGTGAGACGGGGACGGTGAGTGGGCAGCGGGCGGTGAGAGCGGGGACGGTGAGGGGGCAGCGGGCGGTGAGAGCGGGGCCGGTGAGGCGGTGAGAGCGGGGCCGGTGAGTGGGCAGTGAGAGGGGAGAGCGGGGACGGTGAGGGGGCAGTGGGAGGGGAGAGCGGGGACGGTGAGGGGGCAGTGGGTGGTGAGAGTGGGGC